TGGTGTTTGTCTAAAAAGTATAAAGCCATCTTTCCCAAAGTCTAGGCATTCAATCAGTCTTTCTCCTTAACTCTGCATAGCAGTTTCTAGTTGTCTTTGACACTGATCACTTGTATCCTAAGACCTATAGGAACAACGAGTTCATGCAATCTCATTCTCTCCTCCTCTGTTATTAGAATATACTGCCTCCTGACCTCCAGATTTTGCAGATTTAGTGGGTAACTGAGGAATTCTAATGGAAGAATGATTTTTCTGAACACAATTATGTCTGTTCAAGAGAGTATAGAAAGGGGAAAAGAACCCTCAGATTTTGCAAGGAGTGTATGAAGACACACACCTCCCATATTTGTCTTAAATATGTGTCATCCGTGAAGCTGAGCATGTTCAGGCATGGCTTTCATAGTCCTGTGCCCTGCTCGCCTCAAGATCTTTGAAATGCTGTATCTGACACTCTGAGGAGATGTGGACCCGCCTGGCTGTCCCCTCCCAGAGCAGCATCCTCCTTTTCACACTCCCCCTTCGTGGTTTCCATGTGGGAGTGATTTGAGTAGCTGGGTTCTGGAAGTGTCTCTAGTGGGGACCCTGGAGTATTAACCTGTCGTATCGAGTCCCTTTCCTTTCCTCCTACCATGCCCCTTGGCAGTTCTAACGGCTATAGCAGTTCTTACTCTCCAAACAGAACCAGATGGAGCTCCAGTTCCAAGTACATATCAGAATTCAAATTTTCTTTTTTATGTATTTTTTTTCCTGTGTTTTGGCTGCATCACACGGCATGTAAGATCTTAGTTCCCTGTCCAGGGATTGCACCCATGCCCCCTACATTGGAAGAATAGTGTCTTAACCACTGGACTGCCAGGGAAGTCCCCCCAAATATTTCTTTTTTAATTCATTGCTTCTGGTTTCTGCAAAAAAAAAAAAAAAAAAATGTGAGAAAGAAAGGATATGCCAGCGTACAGAGACAGTGGAGCACCCACCAGCATGGTCTCTTTTATCAGCCAAAGGAGATGGAGGTGAGCCCTTGTTTGGGGCCTTCATTTCTCTGGCCCTTCCCTTGTTATTCTTGCAGTATGCACAGTAGTATCAGGGAAGCCAGCCTTTAGGCTGCATCTGAACTGTGCAGCCTTATCTAGTGTTATTCTAGCTGGTTGACTCAAGTCTTTGGAGAGGAAAATTCATCTGTCCACTTACTCAGGATTGTTTTCCTACCAACACTGTTTTTGTTGCAACCGGTAGTTTGTTTCCACCCAGCAAATGCTTTCCTTTCTGGAAAAAAAAATTAATTCAAGCAATTAAGATGAGAAGAGAAAATCGGTGAGGTTCTTCCTGCATTGAACTTTTCTTGCTCTTGGATATTTGTATTCTTTACCAGAATTTTAAAATGTTCTCTCATTATCTTTTGCTAAAAATGATCCATCACCACCGTCTTGTTTTTCAATAGCACAAGTGAATCATTTGCAAAATTTTGCTTTCCAGCAGTCAAGGTAAATGTTCAATGGAGTCTAAGTAATCATAAATGGTTTTAGATTCTCCATAATTATGCAAAAATATTGAATTTCCAGAAAGATTAGCTACAAGGTTTAATTTTTGTTTACTAAGAAATTCTAAATTACCTTTTGATAATTGTGGTTTTGGAGGTAGAAACTGAGGCAGAGCATGGGTGTGGTGGTGACTGGCAAGTACATGGGCCACCAATCTGATCGGGAGTGAGAGATTTATCTGGATCAGTCTCTAACATGTGCTTGTCTCTGAACAAGGAGCTCATATACTTTGTTTCTCAGTTTCTTTGTCCACAAGACCTTTTCCTTGTATGACTGTTGAGAGCTGAAGAGATAATGTATGTAAGTTTAACCCTTAATAAGATGCCTGATGGGCTTCCCCAGTGGCTCAGGGGTAAAGAAACTGCCTGCGATGCAGAAGACGCAGGAGACCCGGGTTCGATCACTGCGTTGGGAAGATCCCCTGAAGGAGGGCACGGCAACCCACTGCAGTGCCTGGAGAATCCCATGGACAGAGGAGCCTGGCAGGCTGCAGTCCACGGGGTCGAAAAGAGTCAAACGTGACTGAAGCAACTGAGGACGGAAGACAAAGATGCCTGACACATAGGAGTTGCCCTATAAATTTTCCATTAATAATGGTAATTTTAGTCACAAGTGGTTTTTTCCCCTATGTAACACGGTAATCATGAAAAAGTGCATAAAGAGAGAATCGTGTCACCAAGTGTAAAACGATTGTATTCCTATTCATAACTATAAAAAGCCCAAGGTCCAAGTCAAGGTGCTGTGAATTAAGCTCCAAGATCCTGGAACAGCATCCATGTTCAGTTGCTCAGGCATTATCAGAAAGCATGTGTGTTATCTGAGGAAATGAGACAATTGCTTAAAAATATTTTCTTTAGTTTGTAGTGTCTAGTGATGAATTAAACAGCTCTTTGAGTCATTGGAGATGCTCTAAAAAGAACCCAACACACTCCACCTCCCCCCATCAAAAAAAGTATTTTTCCTGTTTTTAATCAGACTTCCATTCTTTGTCCTTTATTTTTTCAGGCTCTCGTACCGACCTGTCTTGGGAATGTTAAACACCGGGAAACACTCCCTTGCCAATGCTTGCGCAAGGGACAGTATTTTATTGAGCAAGACAGATTTTCATTTTAGAAATGAGGCTTTCCACATTCTGATGTTACCCGTAGCTGGTTATGTATTATTGTAGGAAGCAACGATATTTGTTGCATGGGTGGGAGGCTTCATGCTGGTGTTTGACCAGCGGTTTGCAGAGGTTTGCACGATGATTTACTGCATGATGCTAAAAACGTGCCCTCTGTCCTCAAGTGATTCCCAGTAAAATGTGTCTCTCTCCTGACTTCTTTTTATCTGGGGAATGTGTTTCCTGTCATTACTAAGACAATGCTATGGCCATAAAATGCATGTGGGTTAATACCTGCAGACATCTTACAAGGAAGAGGGCGTTAGGGTGGGGAGTTCATCCACTGGAGCTGTAGGACACCATCCCCCGCCCCCCAAAGGGGATGAGGATGGCTGTTTTCTTTTACTAGTTCACTTCTCCCCACCCAGAATAAAAGGGGGGAGCTTTCCTCCACTGTGTCTAGCAGTGTCTTCTCTTTGTGGGGGGAGCACAGTGAAAAGAAGATGTGGGTGTAGACATTCTCCCAGCAGTGTTAGACTTTTATATTTATATTGGAAACAGGATGTCATACTGGGTCACTTCTGCTAATGGTGATAAGCTAACCCAGAGAGTGGCCACTCGAACTCCAAAGGAGTTTGGGAAACTTCTATCAAATTGCCTACAGACCAGCAGATAAATACCAGATGTTTATGTTTGTCTCACACACACGGAGTGAGACTTTCCACGATCCTAGTGAAGGCATTTGATGTGCAGCTCTTGCTACACGCCCCCCCATCATCACATCCCTTCAACATCACCCTTCATGTTAAACATAAGTACATCAAACTCAGATGTGAAATCACACCCATCTTCCAATTAAAAATAAAGCAGCTGTGAGACAATGGCATTCTTTTAAAATAAGAAAACAGTGATGGGAACAGGACTGATTGGATTTAGGGAAAGCAGGTTAATTATGGTTATAGTGTGTCTAAATTTTTACGGAAAGAAAGGAAATATTGTTTAGACGATGAACCCTCCAAAACACAGAGGGTTGCCATTGTATAGAAATTCTGGGGGTTGTGTCTTTGTCTTTTCAGCTGCCTGTCTTGGGTCGCCAATCTTGTCTGTTAGACTGTGAGGTTGGGGCAAGCTCATCAGAATTCAAAAAGCTAATGCACCAAGAGGATGGCCAGATTTTGAGTAGTGTTCATGACAACTGCTTATTTTGGCTTCCAAATGAGCAGAGAACAATCTCTTTAGAGATCAATCCATTTCTTGACAAATAATATCTATAAGGATGAGAAAGAAACATGGTAGATTGTTTAGTGATGTTATTTCATTCATTCATTTCCTTCCCCTTGCCTCTGCCCTTCCTCCTTTTCTCTAGAACATTCTCTCCCATTTTTGTCCACTTGTAAGTTCCTACCATTCATCCTTCAATAGGTGTCTTAGACATGGAAGTCAACTGTGAGATGTCTCCAACTCCCTAGCTCCCTTCCTCCATGCACTGGCCCATCCTGTAATCTTGTTTGTGTCTCCCATTCTTGCTTCTCTTTGTATCTTCATCACTTAATACAGAACTTAGTGGAAAGTTGATAGTAAGTGTTCACTGGATAAATATCAATCAAGGGGAGTAGAAATGTTCATAGGCAGCATACTGATTAAACAGATAATGCTACAACCAGGCTCTGGAATACCATGAAGCCATTGAAACTGATGGTATAGAAAAATATTTTTGCCATGGAAATATATCCATAAAACTAAACAAAAAGCAGGTTATCAAACATAGAGGTAATATGACATTGTATTGGAATGACCAAAAAGTTTTTTCAGATTAAGAAGCTGAACGAACGTTTTGACCAACCCAGTAATAACAAAACATATACACAACAGTCACATATTTTGCATAAGGAAAAAAAAAAAAACTCTGGAAGACTACTTTCAGTGGTTATTTCCTATTGGTGGTCTTATGGAGATTGCAATTTATTCTTTAGTCTCTTCTGTATCTTAGGAATTTTTAATAGACATCTATCACTTTTCTAGATAGAAAAACAGATACTCCTTAAAAGAAATCTTAAAGGTCTGGATGCAAGTATAGAAAAAACACAATATATTGACTTGAGAGGTGGAGAACTGAGCTTTGCACTAAACATCCTGAGGTTAGAAATGACTTATTCTGCCCACCAGGCCAAAAAAAGGAAACAATCATGTGTGGTCAAAGAAAAGAGGAAATGTCCTTTTAAGTCAAGAAAACTTTATATATGAAGTGCAAAGGCAGAAAAGGCATATCTATTAGGAAGAATAAATACTTGATGTGGCTGGAAGATACTTTGAAGGGAGGTGGATGTAACAGGTGAGATTAAAAAGGTAAGCCTCAGACTTCCCTGGTGGTCTAATGGTTAAGACGCCTGCTTCCAATGCAGAGGGTGCAGGTTCAATCCCTGGTCAGGGAACTACCATTACATATGCGGTGCAGCACAGCCATAGAAAATAAAAAGGTAGATCACAGCAACGTCATGATTAGCAGAGATGGCTTCAACCCTGAGTGCTGCAGTGGGTTGCCATTTCCTTCTCCAGGGGAACTTCCCTACCTTGGGATCGAACCCAGGTCTTCCGCATTGCATGCAGCCGCTTTACCCTTTGAGCCACTAGGGAAGCCCATAAAATATAAAAAGGTACATCAAAGCAACGTTATGATTAGCAAAGATGGCTTCAACCCTGAGAAAGGTGTAAATACCCAGTAAGTCCTGCTGGGTCTCCCTACAGATACCTGCAGAGTGAGCAGTGGTGCTTCTGAGGCTGATAGTTATCTATCTCCTCCCAAACTCTCTCAGGCACTGACAGTCGCTTTTAGGGCATTCCACAAAGGTCCCCAGGGAAAAAGGATTTAAGAGAAGCTCACGGTGTTGCAAGTGAGAATTTCCAGTACTCGGCTGTGTCTTGTTAAGAGTTCTGGATACCATTCAGTTTTAATTGCAGTGGTTCAAGTCCCAGCTATAATTATTTGGTTGTCATTCATCCTTGCTAAACCCAGTGGCAGTTATGTTAGAAAAATGAAATGAAAATTTTTTTTTTTAAATGAAACTTCAAGTGTCCCAGTGCAGTAAGTAAGAGAATCTTCAGAGTTTGAAAGCATAGCAGGAAACCTCATGCAATTACAAGGGGAGGTTGTGAATGCATTTCATTGCTGTTAAAAAAAGAAAACATCTTTTCTTCTTTTTGAGTGATTCGTGGACATGCTTTGGGGCCTTTCGATTTGGGACTTTGGACTTTTCTTGCCTTGGGCATCCGGTTAATTCCAGTCAATAGATCCTTCCTTTAAAGTCGGTTGTTTCTAGTGCTAGGATTCTTCTAGTTGACCACCAGTTAACTTCTTATCTTATCCTAAGAACAAAATTTTAAAAATAGGAAAAGGACAACCAGAGCATGAAGTTCTAGAACTCTTTCTAATCAGCCTAAGCTGCATATGCACTCTCAGGAAGTTAATCATTTCCAAACCGAAGAGCCATCTGTAGGTTTGACTGAGTTTATTTGCACAGCTCTGCTTTGCGGTCCCTTGAAAGTCAAGGTTTTAAGGGCTCTTCAGGTTGAAGTGGACTGTGTATTGGGCATGAGGGCGTGACTCAGTGGGCAGTTAGTAAAGCCCTAAGTGTTCTGAGAGCATTTAAAAACAGTTGAAATTGTTCAGTGCAGCCATGTCTATAGTAGCCATTAACTTTCAAGTTGCAGCATTAAGAAATCAGTTTTTGCAGCAACCTAAGATCATCTGATTATTTGTTCAGAACAGAGTTAGATTTAGGGTGCCAGATCCCATCCAGAAAAGAACACCCAGTAAAATTTGAACTTCAAGTAAGCAATGAACCTGTTGTTAGAATATCCCAAGTGCTGCATGGGCTGTATTTCCTTAAAAAACATTTACTGTTCATCTGAAATTCAGATTTCACTGAATATCTTGTATTTTTATTGGCTAAATCTGGTAAACGGGGGCTGCCTCCCTTTTTGGAAATGTGTACACAAATTCATACAAAGTATTAGAGTTTGCTTTTGAAAAAAATGCAAATTTTAGTTAGCAAGTATAGGCACTTAATAAAAATATGTTGGATAAGTACTTATTTGTTAAATTAATATTTAGACCATATCTACCATTATCATCTTAAAATATATATTTCTAATTAAAGGCTTGTTCCTTTTTTCTTTCAAACCTGGTGAAAGTATTTCAAACCTGGACCTTACATCTTTAAAATCAGGATAATGAAATAAAGATTGTTTTACACTGAATAGTATCCCCTTCCTTTTTAGATGAAATCTCCTATTGTTGAATTGTGTGTGTTCAAGTTGGCTTCTCTGTGGAGGGGCTGTTGCTGTTTTTGGTCTTGGTTCAGTTTTGAAGGAATTGGCAACTTGTTGATTTAACTGCTCCAAGGGCCTTCAGGAAAAAGCAATTCGGGGAAGACAATAGCCATTCTTCAGGAGACAGGTTGTACATAAAATGGAAATTTTTAGGTGTTTATGGCCCATGGGCAGTGGACGGTTAATTGAAATATTGTTTGCTGAGAATTGGGTTGTCATGTAGCAACTGGAAAGCAGGATACCGAAGCTGCAGTTGGGGGACGGGGTAGGTTTAGGGTTTGGGGGGTTGTTTTTGTTTTTGTCACCATTTTCAGGGGATAAACCTCTTACTATTGAATATACTGTTGAAATATCTTATTGGTGTTAATCAGTCATAACATGCAATTACTTTTTGTGAACATTATTAAATATTTTGCCAAATATTTGTGCTTCGTTTCTTTAAATCTCTGTATTATACAGAAATACAATCTGGCCATTCCAGATTACAAATCTATGGCCCATTTCCCAAAGCACAGTACGCATAAGGGTTTTCAGAGTCAGGATGGTTCCAGTCCACATCCTATTTAGAAGGAGGGCGGTTGCTACAGAGCAATGGGAAATGGGATTGTGTTAGATTCAAGTTCTAGTCCAGGCTTCTCCATAACCAGGAGGGGAGCTTATCTCGTTTGTCTTGGTTTTCTGTTTGTAAAATGACATTTATTAATGTGCTATTTAGAAAGTATCATGATACAATCTCTTAGAAAATACAGTAATATGATATTGGGCCTGGTTTTCTCTTTTGTTCCAAGGATCAAGCAATCTTGGTTGCTGGTTGCAAGGATGAGAAAGTTCTCTTCCTGGCGGTTGCCAGCTAGGGCAGCTACTGTCTTACCATATTGGAGGCTTTCTTGGGGCTGTTGATACTGATGGAACTAGAGTCTGTTGACCCCAGGTAGAGGAAGACTACGTCGTGGTACCCACAGGAAAAGATGCTTCACGTTACAGAGATATCAGGATGGGCAACTGATCAGGTTTGTATTGTCTTATAGGTAGACCTGGGCCTTCTGCGCTTTGTCACTGCTGTCGGGACACAGGGAGCCATTTCAAAGGAAACCAGGAAGAAATACTACGTCAAAACTTACAGAATAGACATTAGCTCCAACGGGGAAGACTGGATCACCATTAAAGAAGGAAATAAACCTGTTGTAAGTTTGCCTGCCTCCTCTTCCACTAATTCAGTCTTTGAAATGGATGATCAATTTTTACTTGTTTGTTTGGGAGCTTGCTGTCTGGCCTGGCTTATTTTTGAATTGATTTAAAATGAAAAGTGCAATTAGAAGTTTAAATCTGACCAAGGGGTCTCATGTTCCCAGATCCAGAAGCCAAAAGGAAATTATACGGATGTTTCCAAGAAAAGTCAATACCAGCCAAATTAAGTCAGACTTAAGAATCGCTTTAAAGCTCCCATGGGGACATGGAGTATGCATAGGATAAACACCGTCCCCTTAGAACCCTTGGAGTTGTTCTGTTTTGTCTTTCTCCCTGTGTTTCCTCATTCTCTTTCATAGATTAATTCTTTCTTCCTCTCTGTAATGGGCTGGTTTTAGAAGACTCCTTTTCATCTACCCTCTGCGCCTCAAACTAATTTACAAGTGTGTTTGGCTGCTTCTGTGCAAATGAACAGAACTGAAGGTGTTCTCTCAGATCCCACGAACCACATGCCACCTCCTCACTGCTTTTTGTTGAGGAGGCCACACCGTGCCCTGTCCCCCGGGTGCTCTGTCCTGAATTATTTGGAGCTGAGATGTTTTTCTCAGCCTGCTGTGTATTTGAAGTTATGCTTGCTCTGAATTACTAATCAAGAGATTACTGAGAGCTCGTGCTTGCCATTTCCCCAAAATTAAAAGCTTGCCCTGGAGGCTGAGCAAAACATCCAGAATTGTTGAGAGGTAGCAAAGATCCAGGTAATTTGGAATTCTGGGTTCCAGAAGAGACCAATTAACATGTCCTTGTCTCTCTTTGGAGTATGTATGGGCTTAAATGTCTCCGTCTGGGTCTGGAACTGAGAAAGCCCTCCTTGGTGTGAAGTGAGAGGGCTATTAATACCCTTTGAGGGACTTCCCTGGTGGCCCAGTGGTTAAGACTCGGGGCTTCCAATGCAGAGGGCACAGGTTCGATCCCTGGTTGGGGAAATAAGATCCCACATGCCCGAAAAAAAAAAGAAAGAAAAAACTACCCTTTGATTAGCTGCAAAGCTGCCACTCTCACTTAGGGCAGGCAGGAAAGCCTCAGCCATAGAGGTGCAGCCATCTGTGGGAGCAAGGTTTTGTGGACCGGCCAGCTCAAGGCCACTGTCCTGCCCTAGACGACATGGAGCGGATCCTCCATCTTGGGAAAAAATCCCTCACAGTCACTATCGGTGCAGATCCACTGAGTAAATGCTGACCCTGAGTGTCATGGCTTGTTTTTGTTTTGGAGTCATTTTTTTGAAGGCCTGCTCTCGTTTCAAACAAATGAAAAAACTCTAATGCCAAGGACACACCAACAAACAGAAGAACCCGGAGAGAGTGGGGAGGGCTGACTCAGCTTTCAGGCCGTCTCGTTAATCAGTGAGCGTTCTTTACCCAAGACCCCTCCTCAGCCGTGGCCCACACTTGTCCACATGTGGGTGTGGAGAGCATGCTGGGGCTGTGGGGGCGTCTGACGGGGACACAGCTCACAATCGTTGTCATCTTGGCACACAGAGGGGCTTCCAGAGTAAGAGGCAGAAAGAATTAAAGGTCGGGAAAGACCGGGTATGTGTCTGAGCCCTTTCACTGAACCTGAATGAAATCCCCACCACCCGGAGTCCAGCTCTTGTTGCCTTGCTCTGTGCTTTGGGGTCTGCCGGCATGCCCCTTCCCCTCCTTTCCTTGGGGAGAGCTGGCCATACGTAGCTCAGCAACAGTGGCCTTTGACCACCAGATCCAGCAGCCTTTTTCTGTTGGTGGCGTGAATGTTCTCACCTGGTTTTCAGGAAACATAAAATGTCCTCAGGGTGAGCCAGCCTGTGGTCCCTCCCTGAAGTGGACCCCCCTGGCCCTTGAAACACTGCCTTGGGAAACTCTGCCCCTTCAGGCAGGTC